GGAGGAGGCCGGCATCCTATCACTAACCACTGTCATATACACCGTGAATGCCAGTAATACTGTGATGCTGTATGATATCCGTTCACCAGAATTGAATGGAAGGATAAACACAAAGGGATTGACAAGTGCTAGCATTAGTATTGGTATGACAACAGTAACCATAAAATTTAACGGTCTCCTGGACATTTTGATGGTGAAGGAAGCAATGTCTACACCTACAGAGGAGACAAAGGCTTTAGTTGATATAATATTCCATGCAGAGTTAGTTGAGTAAAAATCCAAACTGATTGTTGGAACGTTTGTAAAGAGTGAAATCTGTGTTCTATAATATCCATGTGGTGCGATGGAAATTGTGCATTCATGTAAGTCAAACGGGAATTTGGTAACATTTGGTTGGCAAGTTGCCTGAAGAATACGTCCAGGTATCCAGGTAACGGAACCGTTGGCATAAGCAGTGACTTTGAAATGCTTATTGCTGATAGGATTAAAGTCTTTTCCTGGATTAGTCAAGAATAGTTTTGGAACCCAAATTTTTTCATGTGAAAATGTAAGAGATGTGGTATTGTTATAACTACTAGAGTTCCACACAAGACTTTCATCTGTCCAAGAAAGAAACAAAATAATAACCACCGAGATAACTCCGGTCACTTCATTAAAATCATTAATAGACACAAGAGTCATGCCAACGTCAATGGATACTGGCTTTGTCTGGTCCTTTACTGGCCGAACCTCACTGGAATAGTTCACCATCAGATCTGCCAGCAGTGTCTTAACATCCTCCATAGAATTAGCTTTGATGGTCCGTAGACAGATCGCTGTGAAAAAAATGTAAGGTACTCTAAACATGGCTCCGATTTACATACAGATACAAACAACTTATTATAAAACAGTCAGTTACCTATATAAATAATTTCATGTTGTGAGCTGAACTTGTTGTTGTAACCGAATTTTTTGTATCCATGACCTTTCTGATTACCCGGTGTCAGAGTTAACAGAATTGTTGATATTTGTGTCGCTTAGACCACTTGGTATTGGACATAGAAGAATAGTTGATGTTCTTGTCCTCTCCAACCACTTGATATTGGACATAGAAGAATAGTTGATGGTCTATGCCTCTCCAACCACTTGGTATTGGACATAGAAGAATAGCTGATGGTCTATGCCTCTCGAATCAACAGGGTTTGGACGTAGAAAAATAGTTTATGTTCTTGTCCTCTCCGACCACTATTTATTGGACCAAGCAGAATTGTCAGTGTCGGAAATCTTTCTCTATCTATTAGGTATAAGATGTAGCGGTAGCCTTTCTGACCTCTAGGTTTCTGATGTAACAGATTTTTCTAATCCGCGTCCTCTCCCACCTTTCAGAGTCAGTAGTTTTTGTGACATGAAGTAGTCACACTTTGTCATGCCCTTCCCATATATTGCCTTAATTTATAATTCTCTATCTATAAGATCATAATTGTTGTTTCCTGTGGCATTTTTCTTTCTGTCCAATCGAAACTGCATATTATACAGAATTATTGATTTGGAACAAATAACATCTGGAAAGTATTACCAAATGCTGTGTTATCTTGGACGAATTGAATTTTTTTCGTCCTTCCTCGCAGAATAAAGCAATTATATTGATTCAAATCGACCACCACTATGAATTATTAACAGGTTGCTAATGTATTCGATTGTGCTGTTATTTTGAAGTACGCCCCCCCCCCCCCCTTTGCACTCTCTGGTACCCGTCACGTCAAAACCATTATTGTACTTACAGATGTGTATAGGTGATGACTATTGGTTCACTATTCTATTCAGATCAAATTTAATAAGCTACTGACTAAGTTAATAATGCATTGCAATTCCTGGATATTCAACAAAATCGATCACATAGGTAGTTGGAAATTGTGTGCAATGACAACGAACACAAATTATTGGAGGTCATGAAATCTTACCTTTTATGATGCAAACACAAATATATTGTTGTGCAAGCATTCAATTTAACTGAGAAATAAATGTCTGATATTGACCAAAGAGATGGCTTCATCACAATGTCCCCTCATATTGTCAATATTTATGATATTTTTATGTTGTGAATCAATGATCTTTTACTGAGTTGTTGTTCCTTAGGAGTCGCACACATCTCTGTAAACGGCTCATTGACTACGAATAGTTGACCTCAACGGCAGGGTCAATGTTTGACGTCGGGCAAATACAACACCAATGGATGAAAAACTATTTTGGTACGCTAATTATCACTTATGCCACAATATATGAGCATGTATCTCGAGAACATGTCGGTAGTTTACGTTTACGATAGCTGCCGAATCGTCCGTCCATCCGTCATTCCGTTCATCCTTTTTGTCACTGTTACATACCTTCGCCGACTATTAAACAAAGATCATTGTACTAATTGTGTATATCAGTTACACTAAGGCTATGTACAGTGTACTAGATCAATGCCCACAACCCCTTATCTACAGAGTTATTGACCTTTGTTTAAATTTGGTGTCCGGGGCACAACTTTGCTTGTATTTAAAGTAGGAGAATGAAACTTCTTGTATACGTTGACCAAGACAAGACAATGTGCATTGTACCAAAGTCAGGGTGCGAAACCCCTTGTCCTTTGTCAAAATTTTGTACCTCTATAGTATATCTGCATTTTGAATAGATGCAGGAGAAACACGACCTATTATAAAAGGTACATTTCTTTGAAAACTATCTATAAAAACCCATCAGAAAATCAGACGACTTTTGTTTCATTACTTACAAAATTCCAGTTTCTACAAGTGTTTTCAATCATTATATAGATATAAGGTATCACAAAAAGTTTTGATTGCCAGAAACAACCATTGTTAAAAAGGAAGCGTTGAAAGACTTAATAGTGACTTCATTAATGTTGTTACAAATGTGTTTTACTGTGTAATAATTGACTGAGTTAACGTGTTTGTGAATTTATGTGAAAAAACTTGAAAAATTAACGTTAAATTCCTATTGAATTTAAAACTGATTGTTTTCTTTTTTTCAATGATTACAATAGTAACTATACATGTATATTATTGTATAAACTAAGGAATATACACATATATATATCATTTTGTCTATTCACCAATTTTACCCTTTTGTAGGTATGTCACAGTGTTTTTTCTTAATTAAGTCTAAAGCAGTCCTAGGTGAAGGGCAATAAATTTCGTATAAACGCTCCCCCTACCTTATGGAAAGTAGGACAAAGTCTTTAGAATTCATTCTGCTTAAGGTATGGTAATATTGTGTCCCAGTTTGGTCTAAAACAACCTTGGTTAAAGTTAAATCAATTTCGTTTGAATGGTTGGTCACCGCCACCCTGAGACGAGAGGAATGGGGTCGTATTTTATTAATCCTTTTCCTATAGTTTGGATAAAGCAAAACAACCTATATGCCTCGTTTTTCAAAATTTATATGTTATGTTGTTAACTCCTCCCTCGATTTTTTAACCCTCTAAAAAGCTTCGAAACCATCAGATTGTGTTCAAGTAAACAGCATTTGGATTCAATATTTCAAAACATATTTGCCCTTTGTTCTTTCCAGTATTTTTGATTATGAAAGATTTCTCTAGGTTTCTACTCATATTTTTTAAATTTGGTGTTTTCATTTATCAATAAAGTACATAGCACTGTTTTCCCGCTTGACACTTTAAATCATTATTGCCATTTACATTTGTATTCTTTTTGTTACAAAAACTTCTGAATATTTCTTTGGTTATGAGACGGGCGTATATTGTTTCACCCCGCGGTACTCTTGTTTCTGTAACTTGTTATTTCAATAGATTGAAAATTCATTGTCATCCTTTCAAAATCTGAACACATTGCATATGTCTAATTGATTCTTAAAAAACAAATTTCCGTCCGGAAGTCCATACTTTGAGTGATGAATTTATTGTCAGGAATGATCAAAGGACTTTGTACATGTTAACTAGAGGGAAAACAATGTACTTATTGAATTTTTTTAGAAAGAAAGAGCATATTACAAGTACCAATGATATACAACACTTTTTAATCATTTTTAAGGGAATATCCATGCACTCACCCGGTCATGGAGAATATGTTCATTAAGTTAATTGACATGATATTCACTCCAGTATTAATTTCAATAGCATAAACATTGTACTGTTAGTTGATTTTGGGATGAAATTGTATAATTAGAGTTCTAATATGCAGAGAGAAATTCTTTCTTTTCTTGTAAGAAGTGTTTATCAAGCAATTTTTCCATCTTCTATTTTCAATATTTAATACCTTAATTTAATTTACTTAAGATACTTTATTAGATACTTACGTAACTTTGATGAATATGTGAATTCGTATTACATCGGTAATTAATACCAATAGGGAAACGACTTCCTTTCAGGCTTACATTCAGTTGCTCATGAATATACCACACCAAACACTGCACACACATCGTTAATTAATATCAATAGTGAAACGAACTTCTCTCATACTTAAATTCAGATATTCCTGAATGTAACATTACAAAATGATGAATACACATCGGTAACTGATACCAATAGTACAATGAACTGCTCTCATACTTAAATTCAGATAACCACACAAAATGATATACACACTAAAATATTGACATACATACTATTCAACACGACACAAAGATGTAAGGGACACAACCTGTGTGTGAAAACCTTATTGATTCCATGAGAGGTGAAATGGGCACTTTTGTATTTTGATGTTTGTACTGACTTATTCAAGTTTATCTTTGGTTCTCCAAAACAATTCCGGTTATTCCTTTTCTTCTTAGTGAAAAATAGGTACTGTTTGGACCATTATTTAGAATTTCCATCCAGGCCTAGTTATTACCTACACAGTACATTTCATCAGGTTGATGGTCATTTTCTCTGATTTACAACATGTCCGGTGTTCATTCAGATTGACCAGTCATTTTAAAGGTTATTCGTTTTTGTTTAATTGCTTCTTCTGTATTTTCTTTCTTTTCCCTCTTTTTCAGAATTTTCAAAAGATTTAAGGTGACTAATAAAAGTATGCCAGTGAAAAATTAACAGTGAAAACCAAGATGGTTGTAAAGTAAAACTTGTCTGCATATTTAGCTACAGTATGCCATGTAATATTTTCCGACTGTGAAAAAGATATTTGATCATAGTTCTTTTCTGTTGAATGAGTTTGACTGTCCGCAAAATCTGACTGATCGATTGATTCTAAATGGATAACATCATGGTTTTTTATGGATTCCATTCTGCCTGGAGATTTTCTGGTCTCATTTGGATCTCTTGATTTGGTTTCAACTTTACCTTTTCTGCAAATGTTACGGAAATTCTTAATAAAGTTTTGGATCCACCGTGGCACTGGTTCCTCATTGTCATCTTTATTGTAGACTCTTATCTGAAATATGTTCACAATTACAATGAGAACACTTAGAGCAAGCAATGAAAGTAGATAAAATGATAAATGGGATATTGGTTCGGAGGAGGCCGGCATCCTATCACTAACCACTGTCATATACACCGTGAATGCCAGTAATACTGTGATGCTGTATGATATCCGTTCACCAGAATTGAATGGAAGGATAAACACAAAGGGATTGACAAGTGCTAGCATTAGTATTGGTATGACAACAGTAACCATAAAATTTAACGGTCTCCTGGACATTTTGATGGTGAAGGAAGCAATGTCTACACCTACAGAGGAGACAAAGGCTTTAGTTGATATAATATTCCATGCAGAGTTAGTTGAGTAAATATCCAAACTGATTGTTGAAACGTTTGTGAAGAGTGAAATCTGTGTTCCATAATATCCATGTGGTGCGATGGAAATTGTGCATTCATGTAAGTCAAACGGGAATTTGGTAACATTTGGTTGGCAAGTTGCCTGAAGAATACGTCCAGGTATCCAGGTAACGGAACCGTTGGCATAAGCAGTGATTTTGAAATGCTCATTGCTGATAGGATTAAAGTCTTTTCCTGGATTAGTCAAGAATAGTTTCGGAACCCAAATTTTTTCATGTGAAAATGTAAGAGATGTGGTATTGTTATAACTACTAGAGTTCCACACAAGACTTTCATCTGTCCAAGAAAGAAACAAAATAATAACCACCGAGATAACTCCGGTCACTTCATTAAAATCATTAATAGACACAAGAGTCATGCCAACGTCAATGGATACTGGCTTTGTCTGGTCCTTTACTGGCCGAACCTCACTGGAATAGTTCACCATCAGATCTGCCAGCAGTGTCTTAACATCCTCCATAGAATTAGCTGTGATGGTCTGTAGACAGATCGCTGTGAAAAAAATGTAAGGTACTCTAAACATGGCTCCGATTTACATACAGATACAAACAACTTATTAAAAAACAGTCAGTTCTCTAGATAAATAATTTCATATTGTCAGCTGAACCAAATTTTTTGTATCCATAACCTTTCTGATTACCCGGTGTCATAGTTAACAGAATTGTTGATATTTGTGTCGCTTAGACCACTAGGTATTGGACATAGAAGAATAGTTAATGTTCTTGTCCTCTCCGATCACTAGATATTGGACGTAGAAGAATAGTTAATGTTCTTGTCCTCTCCGATCACTAGATATTGGACGTAGAAGAATAGTTTATGTTCTTGTCCTCTCCGATCACTAGATATTGGACGTAGAAGAATAGTTAATGTTCTTGTCCTCTCCGATCACTTGATATTGGACAATAGGTATTGGACATAGAAGAATAGTTGATGGTCTATGCCTCTCCAACCACTAGGTATTGGACATAGAAGAATAGTCAATGTTCTTGTCCTCTCCGATCACTTGATATTGGACGTAGAAGAATAGTTTATGTTCTTGTCCTCTCCGATCACTAGATATTGGACGTATGTTCTTGTCCTCTCCGACCAATAGGTATTGGACATAGAAGAATAGTTTATGTTCTTGTCCTCTCCGATCACTAGATATTGGACGTAGAAGAATAGTCAATGTTCTTGTCCTCTCCGACCAATAGGTATTGGACATAGAAGAATAGTTTATGTTCTTGTCCTCTCCGATCACTAGATATTGGACGTAGAAGAATAGTCAATGTTCTTGTCCTCTCCGACCAATAGGTATTGGACATAGAAGAATAGTTTATGTTCTTGTCCTCTCCGATCACTAGATATACGTAGAAGAATAGTCAATGTTCTTGTCCTCTCCGACCAATAGGTATTGGACACAGAAGAATAGTTTATGTTCTTGTCCTCTCCGATCACTAGATATTGGACGTAGAAGAATAGTCAATGTTCTTGTCCTCTCCGACCAATAGGTATTGGACATAGAAGAATAGTTTATGTTCTTGTCCTCTCCGATCACTAGATATTGGACGTAGAAGAATAGTTTATGTTCTTGTCCTCTCCGATCACTAGATATTGGACGTAGAAGAATAGTCAATGTTCTTGTCCTCTCCGACCAATAGGTATTGGACATAGAAGAATAGTTGATGTTCTTGTCCTCTCCGATCACTAGATATTGGACATAGAAGAATAGTTTATGTTCTAAGCCTCTCCGACCACAAGATATTGGACCAAGCAGAATTGTTTTGTCCTAGCCTTGTCTGTCCCACTAGGTATCAGATGTAGCAGAATTGTCAGTGTCGGAAATCTTTTTCTCACTATTAGGTACTAGATGTAGCGGAATTGTCTACATCCGTGGCCTTTCTGACTTCTAGGTTTCTGATGTAACAGATTTTTTCTAAATCCGCGTCCTCTCCCACCTTTCAGAGTCTGTAGTTGTGACATGAAGTAGTCACACTTTGTCATGCCCTTCCCATCTATTGCCTTAATTTATAATTCTATATCTATAATATTATAATTGTTGTTTCCTTTGGCACTTTTCTTTCTGTCCAATCGAAACTGTGCATATTCTACAGAATTATTGATTTGGACCCAATAACATCAGGAAAGCAATTTAAAAAAGCTGTATTATCTTGACCGAATTGAATTTTAGTCCTTCCAGAATAAAGCAGTGATATTGATTCAAATCAACCACCATTATGAATTATTCACAGGTTGCTAATGGATTTCGATTGTGCTGTTATTTTGAAGTCTCTCTCTCCCCTTTGCACACTCTGATACCCGTCAGGTCAACGTCATTAATATTCTACCACAAAGAACTTACACGAGCTCATGCAATCTTACTGTTTATGATGTTTGATAATTACCAAGGAGATGGCTTCATCACAACGTCCTCTCCTGTTGTCAATCTTTATATTTTTTATGTTGTGAATCAATGATTTTTTACTGAGTTGTTGTTCCTTAGGAGTCGCATACATCTCTGTAAACGGCTCATTGACTACGAATAGTTGACCTCAACGGCAGGGTCAATGTTTGACGTCGGGCAAATACAACACCAACGGATTAAAAAAACTATTTTGGTACGCTAATTATCACTTATGCCACAATATATGAGCATGTATCTCGAGAATATGTCGGTAGTTTACGTTTACGACTTTTGTTTCATTACTTACAAAATTCCAATTACTACTAGTGTTATATAATCATTATATAGATATAAGGTATCACAAAAAGGATTAATTGCCAGAAACAACCATTGAAAAAGAAGCGTTGAAATACTTAATAGTGACTTCATTAACGTTGTTACAAATGTGTTTTACTGTGTAATACATTGACTGAGATAACGTGTTTGTGAATTTATGTGAAAACCTTGAAAAATTAACATTAAATTCCTATTGAATTTAAAACTGATTGTTTTCTTTTATTCAATGTTTACAATAGTAACTATACATGTATAATATTGTATAAACTAAGGAATATATATACATATATATTATTTTGTCTATTCCCCAATTTTATCCTTTTTACCTGCATTTCATAAAATTCAACATTTTTGTACAATTAAGTTGTTACATATAATGTATTGTTGAATAATATACATGCACATTACTTAATGGTATATATATAAAGTTTTTATTTCAAACAGAGTTACGGTTCTTGGCAGTCAATCTGATCCACCTCACTATTAAGACCACGTTTTTGAAAACCTGCTTGAACATAATAACTATGGCGAAAATTATTCAATATATAAATGGGCCATACAGAAGATATTGCCTATAATTAAAGCGTTAAATTTTGTCATGTTGTTTACACTGCAGATACTCTACAATATTCACACATTCTATTTCAGGGTCTGATGTCAACACAAGATCAATTTTGTTTTAGACATTGCAAGAAATATACGTCCGCATATCACCATGGCAACAGAGCGAAAACATCTTCAAATTTCATGTTCTAAAAAGTGTGAATATATTGTATATTATTTTAAGTGTTGCTAGGAATATTAAGGGAATATATAACGGTTTTCTATGTCAGTTGTTAAGAGAGACACTTCAATTATCAGAATAAAAGTACCAGATGGTATTTTCGTTTTGAAATATTTTCTGATGACATGTCAACTCTTCCTTCACATGATTAACGTTCTTTAGTTCAATGTAAAATTGTTATCATAACCTGTGGTCATGACAGAAGTCAATCATATTTTCATCAAGTTTCTGGCATACTATCATCACATGGTGGACTGCTCAAATCAACCTCCCTCTATCGTCCGTTTATCTGTCCTGAAATCATGCTGATTATCATACAAGGGTAAGATAATGGAGGTGTTATCAATACACAGTGGTAACTCGTCAAAATTTCTTTGTTTAGGGGTCAACTGACTGGTGTTTTTACAATAAATTACTAAAGGGAAATTACACTTGTCTGTTATTTAACAGACAAGTTTAATAAAAAAAAAAAAAAAAAAAAGCATTTGAGGACATGCTTTTCAAGTTCGAGAAGACCCAAGGTTCTGATATTTGACCAGTATGTACCTGGGATGGAGTGCTTAAAATCCTCTTGAATCTACCTTGATATAATTTCATTACCAAGCTGTCAAATATGTTTAAATTATTCTTGATACTTGTTTAGACCTAGAGTTCAGATAGTAAGTCAGATAGTTAAAGTAACAAAACAATAGGATATATATCTAGTAAAATGATTTAAATAATAATGAAAACAAAAGATATGACTATTACTAAGAATATCGATGGAGTAACCTAAAGTCAAGCAAGGTCATTCCAAGAGGTCAGAGGTCTTCTGAGTTTTACTCATTTCCTTTATTCTCAACTGAATTTCATTCATATAGACTAAATGTTTAGATGTCATTCTACCTTCATGTTATCTCGCGTGTTACTGTTTTCAATTAGTGAGTGAATAAGTTTTTTTTATGAGAAACTGAAGATACTTAAATGATACGTCGTTTCTGTACGGTTTACCTCCCTTGAATTGAAACACGTCAATCGGACGTTCAGTGTGCAATATTGATAAACGTATGATTGCTGCTATTTAAGTGGTATCATAACTATACTTTGCGCAAATAACGTATAATTACTCCGATGGGAAACGGCAGGTAAGCAACAAACAACCAAAGCAGTGGTGAATTTAAAAAAAAAAAAAAAAAACGCCAAGAGTAAGAAGCAACTGCAGATATAACAATCATCTGGTGAAAAGGCGAAAGATTCGGATCACGTGGTCAGACCATGATATTGGTTAGATGACAAATAAAAAGTAAGTGCAGGACTAAAGCAGAGCAGGAAATAACGCATATTTATGTATGCAATATATATATATATACAACAATAAAACAAAATAAATAAAGATGTAAACCGCAGCAGATTCCGCAACAAGCATTTAATGAAAACAGCTAAAGCAGGTGGGGAAAATGAGGGATTATGCAAATAACTAGAGAATGGAAACAACTACATATTTCATAGACAATAAAAACGAAAACAAAACCGGTGGATTTTACAGGCTACTAGATGATTTATACAACTACAGATTGCATAGACAATAAACAAAACTGACAGATTTTACAAACAATTATGTATTATGGATGTACATAAATTTACATAATCAACTTAAAGGGATAAAAATAACTGGATTGCGTCTGTGAGTCAGCGCGGGGGTTCGAACCCCCTACACCATATAGTATAACCAAAAGGTCGCACAGAACGAAGAAACCACTTGACTGAGCCAGCTTACCTGATCGACGATCGATTTATGTTACTTAAAGCTGGTATTGTAAACAGCAAATCACGTGACATTACTAACGCCGTTACAGTGTCGTATACACACAACTGTGTACAGACGGGTAACTATAGACTATAAAGTGTTATCGTCTGCTTAATGTTGTAATGGAGATGTTGTAGTATTACAAACAATTCATAGCTCTCTTTGTCATTGTTAAAACCATACATGACAAATGAAAACTGTGTCTGATTGATGATCTTGGTGTCTTAAATGGAA